CATAGTTTCATCTTCCCGCATTGCTTTTTCCCCCTTCTCTTTACTGTTTTAAGAGGGCCTTTTGCTATTTTTTCCCCAGATAAGAGGACAGGTAGAAAATGGAAATTTTAAATCACAGGTCTTCAACTGGTGGGCTGGGAGCCACAAGTGGGTCACAGCCTGATCCAAGGTGGGTCACAACAGGAACACTACCACCATGCAATTATTTAGAAATGGGTTAACCCAAATACATGTTTGGGTTAAAAGTGAGTCCTGGGTCTGAAAAGGTTGAGGATTCCTCTTTAAAATAGATAAATAAAAAGACACACAAGGCAACACAAGGTTAGGCATTCTTTAGTTAGGTCAGTTGCCAGCAACATGCATTGAGTGTGCATAACTCTGTACTGGACTGTGGCCATACACTACATTCCTAACTTTTATTTAGTAACATTATTACACGTTGCCCAGGTGACCGTGACCAAACAAAAAGAATAAACCAAAGGAGTATTCCCTGTGTTATTTCTGCCTTTTTGTGATCATAATTCAGTCACTTCCCAAACACTGGCAATATTATTCCACATGCTGCAGTAGGATATTTATGAATGGAACAGATAGGGGTGTGGCATATTTTTCTGGGAAAGGAAACATTTCACAGGGGGGAAAGAGTCAATCAATCACTCTGAACCCATTAACAGTGAACCTTTATTACTTCCAAAGAATATATCAAGCTGTATGGAAATGGAAATATTAATAGAAGGAAGTTTATCAAGCTGGGCTGTGGGGTGGACAGAAATTTTTAGAACAACTCATCAGATGCTGTTGAGCAAATGCAAAGAGCATATGCTACATATGGCCAGCTGAGAAAGGTGTTCCTCTGTATATATTTTCAGCCTATATTTTCCATCAACAAAGCAGTTGATGAATCCAATCTGATATGAAATTTTGCTCTACAGGACTGAGATGTCTGGGCAGAGAGCTGGCATTGATCTCCCCGCACCTCACTTCTGTTACCACCAGCCTGTATAGTGGAACCCAAAAGCCTGTTATTGGTGAGGTATGTTGCATAGGTCCCCAAACTGCTTCAAATTGTGCCAGAGCTGTAGGGAGATAATCACAGAATGGGAACATCAAGGCAATGTTTACTATGATCTCTGGATCTGATCAATACAGTTTTAGTGCTTACATTGGTATGGAAGGGAATAATGGCTTTCAAATTTACACGAAATCCCTTCCTTTCTTTGATTTCTGTGTCCTGTGTTCTGTGTCTCTTAATCTATCTATCTACCTTTCTTTCTTTCTTTCTTTCTTATTTCATAGTCACTGGAGAGGCACAAACATTAATGGCATCTGAGTGCCATCCTCAAGTGCTCCCATCCTAGAAATAGCATGCAAACAGACATGTGAACACCTTATAGAAACATCCCTTACCTTCTCTATAAAATCCAAGGAACTGTCATCTCCTTTATGCAAAATAAAAGATGGAAGGGGGAGCAGTACTGAATATCATTGTAAACCTTTTCAATTAAGCTTCTTTCAGATTTGGTGGTGACTCCTACCACGTTGGATTGTTTTATAGAAGCACTCATCATCTGTGCAACATTAGTCCCACTTCTTAAACTATTCGTAATCATCTAGGAATTGTGCCAGCATCACTTTGCCTGTGTGGATCCTTGCCCCATTTCTACCTGCTGAATGGTCTGTTCTGTGGGCAGAGAGGGGCGGAGCCCACCCGGGCTCCATTGAAACTTAGGCAGTCCCTGTGACATCATCACAAGACTGCATCAGGCCTGAATGCATCAGGTACAATAGCAGCGCTGCTAGTGTGTCCAGTGGCGTAGCATGAGGAGGACTATGGGGTGGTTTTTTCAGGTGCAAAATTGTTAGGGCCAATCCCAATGCAGCCTCAATACGGCTGTGTGCTTCCATTGCAGGGCTCCATTGAAAACGGCTTTTCCATGTGAACCAGGAAGTGACCTCTCCAGACAACAGAATGACTCTTCTTTTATTATCTCTGTGGCTGTGATCTTCTGGGTGATGCAGATGCCATTAGGCAGTTGAATGCGCATTTGTACTCCATCCATTTTCCTCCCTTTCACCCACCGGCTCCGTATTGCCCTGGGCGCTAGTAACCCATGCTACACTACTGAGTGCGTCAAAGTCTGGATTGAGTGACATAATGAAACATGGGTTGGTGCTCATTTGTGTAGTAATTCCACTTATTTCTCAACCCATTGGTCACTGCAAAGGCAGGAATCGATTCAGTAAATGATAGGCTTTCCCCCCTCTCCTCACTGCGTAAGCAGCGGTCAACATTTCATTGTGTATAACAAAGGTCCGCATAGTTAAAGCTATGGTTTTCCCAGTTGTGATGTATGGAAGTGAGAGCTGGACCATAAAGAAGGCTGATCGCTGAAGAATTGATGCTTTTGAATTATGGTGCTGGAGGAGACTCTTGAGAGTCCCATGGACTGCAAGAAGATCAAACCTATCTATTCTTACGGAAATCAGCCCTGAGTGCTCACTGGAAGGACAGATGGTGAAGTTGAGGCTCCAATACCTCGGCCACCTCATGAGAAGGGAAGACTCCCTGGAAAAGACCCTGATGCTGGGAAAGATGGAGGGCACAAGGAGAAGGGGATGACAGAGGATGAGATGGTTGGACAGTGTTCTCGAAGCTGCCAGCATGAGTTTGACCAAACTGCGAGAAGCAGTGGAAGACTGGAGTGCCTGGCGTTCTCTGGTCCATGGGGTCACTAAGAGTCGGACACGACTAAACGACTAAACAAATAACAAACCTAGACCAATGTAACCACTGCAGAGCAGAAATATAGGGAGGGATCGTTGAGCAGGGAAGGATCCCAATAAATAAATAAATAAATCCAAACATTTAAAGTCTGGGGAAAGTTTTTTAATCACACTTTTAAAGTAAATGACACGAATCAAGAGTTAATTTACATGTGAGATTAAATAACGCACCCACTGCATATTAATTGTGTAGAAATGGATCATTTGGCAGCTTGTTTAATGAGGTGTAACAACTACCGCATATAAAATTTGCAGACATTATTATTATACCCTCCTTAAATCTCTGTAAATCTGGTTGAACAAATGTTAATATTTCAGTAATACAGAGTGACTAATGGATGCACAGCAGCTTAACATATATCCGGTTGTTGACCCCCTATTCATTTATGGAGCATGAACCCGGGAGTCAGAGGCTGTTCTTTGATTCATCGTTCTGTCATATATTCACCTTGCTATAAATATATCATTGCAAGGTGAATATAGACTAGAGCCTAAATGAAAAGGTCTATAGTCTTACAGATGGTCCACATGCTTTGAATGTAGAAGCTCCCAACATCAACACTGCTGGGGGTCCACACATTGTTTGGATTGCCTTGGAAATCAACCAAAGGTTTGTGGCCACCAAGAAGACCATGCAGCTCTCCAAGGTAGCAGGATGTTGACCCTCATGGATCACAGAGTTGGAAGGTACTCCAAGGTTTATCTAGTCCAACCCCCTGCAATGCGGGAATCTCAGCTAAAACATCCATGACAGATGGCCATCCAACCTCTGCTTAAAAGCCTCCAAGGAAGGAGAGTCCACAACCTCCTGAGGGAGTCCATTGTGCCTCTGATATGCAGGAGGAAGTCAGGGATAATGCCTTGATACCCCCCCCCCCACTGCCCTCTCTCAAAAATCTGAGCTGGGGGCTGAGTTGAGACGTCACGCTCCCAAAGGTTCTCCAGCTTATAACCAGGTGAGAGTATGCAGCCATTGCCTTGCTTTCACTCAGCCTTTGGTAGATCCTCCAAGTGCCTGGCAGGCACAGAGACAAGCTGACATGTGCCCCTGTCTTCCCCATCCAGCAAATAAGTTGGTTTTATCTGCTTCTTGCTAGACCCTCACCAAGCTGAAAGTGACTATGAAGATTGTAGATCCTTGTCTCTAGTTAAAGGATCATAGGTAGAAGAGCTGAGAAAGACTGCTGTCGAAATGTTCTGGGCAACTCCTGTAAGCCCCAGCCAGAATTTTAAGCAGAGGGGAGATGATCATCTGTCAGGGCTGTTTAGTTGGAGTTCCTGCCTTGCAAGAAGTTGGACTAGCTGCGCCTTGGGGTCCCTTCCAACTCTAAACAGGCCATATAAATAACACAGGTGTGCATAATGAACACAGTGAATGGTTGTCAGTTTCTCGCAACTCTGATAGTAAAGTATTTATGACAGAATACTCGCATGGTGACTGTGTTTTTTCCGTTTCTTTTTTCTTATATAAAAAGGTCAATACTTCTCTTCTTGAAGAGTCCCAAGAAAACAGAAGATCAATAGACGCAGCTATTTTCATCGGAGTGTTGCAGTGACAGGAGCATCTGCTACAGAGTTCAAAAAAGGATAGAATCCTCTTTCGTTTTGAAGTAGCTTTGGCATAGATGCAAGTTGTAGTGAGTAGGGCTGTACCCAGCCCTCACCTGACCCCATCAGGGCTCTCAGCGCCGGCCAACCTAGGGAGGAATCGACCCAACCCGGATCCAACCAGCTGGTGAGCCTAATTAGGTTCAGGATTCAGCTGAATCTGGTTCAGAGCCCTAGAGTGTGAGCACAGCAAAATGAGTGGTGATTTGCTTGAAGAAAGAAGTTTGGGTCAAACATTTTGAACACTCAGTTCCTGTGGGACATAGGTGGGGAAGCAATGGACCACTAGATGTTGCTGGACCAGGCTGGCCAGGGCTGATGATAGTTGGAGTCCAACAACATATGCAGAGCCACAGGTTCCCAACAGTATTGCCAGTGCATCACTTGCTTTATATGGTAACCCTCCTCCGCCCCCAAGTTCAAAAGCTCTCTGGCTTGCATACTGGACTCTGAGAGGCTCACATGCAGGCTCCTGCAAGATCTCATGGTGCCGTTCAAGATCTTGCATGAGCTTCCCAGTCTGAGTTCAAGCACTCTTTCCATGCCAGGAAACCCTTGTGCAAAAATAGCTATTAAGGTCTCTGCATTTAATTTGTGTGATTTCAACTGGAGGTGAGGGCGATCTGGCTGCAACATCTGTCGTCCCACTGGTTGCCAGGGTTGATCTGGCTGGCTTGGTGGGTGTCCCCTTCCTCCCTCACCGTCCCATGAGCGTCTCATGTGGTGTGCGCTCGGTGGAAGATGATGACAATCCTAGATAGAAAGAATGTACCAAGTGTATATGATAGCTGTACTCCTCTGCTACAACCTCCCAGCAAGCTCAAGGTCCCTTTCAACTGGCTGCTCTTCAACCATGTAAGTTGAAATCATGTAAGGTATGAGTTACCTGTGTATGCATAACTGCCAAACTGCTGTAAATTAATCACTACAGGGTTAAACAGGCCTGAGAATAAAGTCTCCTTTCTAAAGCTTAGTAGATATGGGACGTGTTGGTCCAACAACTGTCCTTTGTAAACAAACAAACAAACAAACAAACAAACAAACCATGAGCAATTGCATTTCAACCCGCACATTGTTTTTGAGCTCCACAAATTGACCCAAAGGCATAATAGATATGTTCAAACCCAAGGGAATATGTGACATAGGGTCTTCCTGTTTACATAATCAAAAATGGATGCATAAACTGGATCAATATGCATGAAACAAGCACTCACATTCAACATTTCATCATATGCATCCAGTCCTCCAGCATGCATCTTCCACTTCTGGCCTGGCAGTGAAAACCAACCCAAATTAATCATGGGAAACACGTTTTCATTTCAGTAATTAAAACTTTCCCTTCAAAAAAAAGATAGAAGCAGCAGCAGCTTAGGATTTAAGTTCTGAAATGTGATGATTTGGAGTGTGATCACTCTCCATGTGTCTCCATTACGAAGGCTGGCAAAAGCCAGCAGAATCTCTTGGCTTTGACTTTTTTTTATATAAGTTTGTATGGAACAGTTGTAAATTGCCCTTTGTCTTGTGGTGCCCAGATAATCAAGTGCCAGTTTCCTTATGTTGCCTTTTCCTTCAATTATTCCATTTGGTGGTGGTTGGCCGGATGACTGACGTACAACAAATGACATCTTGATGGATGGTTACTTCCCATTTCATAAAGACAAGAGTCTGTCGTGTCACTGTGCTGTAAATACTCTTTTGGAGTGCATGCTTGTCAAATGGAGATTGGATTTCGAAAAGCTATCCTTCATCACTTGTCCCCAGCTTGAGTTTGAGGTCTCTCGCCTACACACAACTTTAAAATAACTGCTGTCACCAAGAGCAGATTGCTTTGCATAAGACACTAGAGAGTGGGATGAGCATGTCTGCTTACACTGAGGATAAGGAGAATATGAAATTCAGAAAGGCCGGACCACTTTTGGAGGGGAGAACTGGGGACTGCCATCTTTGTACATATTTTACCCACTGAGCTGTTAACTGGCTACTCAGGTTGAAGGAAGCAGAGACCACACCCTTTGCTCTTCCAAAAGCCTTCTGGTTGAAATAATATAGCAGAAGGAGATTAAAGCAGTCAGGGGCAAAAATGCTTCTGAATACCATTTGCTGGAAAGCATGAGGTGGGGAGATCACTCTCCTGGTTGAGAGTTTCCCACAGGCATCTGGTTGGCCACTGTGAGAACAGGATGTTGGCCTAGATGGGCCACTGGCCTGATCCAGAGGTGCTTATATTCCTATGTAATGCCTTGGTGTGTTTGCAAAAGTGACTTAAAGTCTGTTTTTCACAGACACTAAGCTGTCGCATCATCATGTATGATTGTTGTTGTTGTTATTCCACCCTATACCCATAGGTCTCAGAGTGGTTCACAGGACCATATAATAGCAACATGCCTGTAGGACAGGCATGTGGACAGGCCCCACTATTTGCCTTATATCTATGTGGGTTTTAAAATTCCAATCTGTTTCTGAGTCATTCTGGACTCTCTCTGGTTTGGTCTGTTTTGCAGGCTCCAAGCTGCTCTGCATTGAAATGTTGCTCTGTGTTTCCTAATCACTATAATTCAGGTTCTTAAAATTGCTGTGCCTTTAGCACCTTCGGGCCAAAGTGGTGAAATTTGCCGGCACAGGAGCTCCTCCAGAGTGGATTAAGCCTGCCAAAGTTGCAGAGGCTTTTCTGTGGGGGGAAGTAAAAGGGAATCACTTTCCTTCGCAATCTTTTTTTAGAGCCAGGCTCCTCCCACTCCCTGATTTGCCATTTGGCCACATTTTGGGAACCGGACTCCTGAGTCATCTTTGAGAAAGGGGTTGGGGGTAATGCACCCCTGTTGTAAGAGCACGAATGATATCGCAGCAATTTAATAACCCAAGAGAAGACAAGATCTATTTGATCAGAATCAACAATGGAAGATCAGAGAAATGTGCAAAGGCAGTGATGCATCCATCATAACACATTTTACTTTCTTTAAACACTGTTGTTGGTCTTCTGCATAAACGAATGCACACCAGATGTCAGTTGTTTCTAAGGATTGCATGAACTTCCTCAAATGGAACTAAAATTTTCACACCATTTCACACCAGGAATTTTTGCCTGATCTCACTGCAACCAACTTATGCTTTGAACCCTAAAGATTGATAGTGTTTGACATTTCCCCCCCTAGCTGGTATAACAGCATGTAATACTGCGAGTCACATAAATGTTCCAACTCTACCTCCATCTGCTTCTTCCAGCTATAGCATATGCAGTAAGAAATTGAGTACTTGATTGAAGCATGCAGATGCCTGGTAATTTCAAGATAGGAGGTGCTTTAATTAGAGGTGCTGACCTACTTTAAATCTTTGTGTCCTATCAGGGATGACCTTTCAGTTTTACAAGTTTCCCTGGCCTTTTCAGCTCAGAAGGGCATTATATATAGCTTGATCGCTCTCTATTCTAAAGGTACCCATCACATGTACGAAATGTATGAGAGCAGCTAGTCTTGCAGCCCTTACACTATGTGTATCTGTTGGAAGTTCAGTAAGTGATGCAGGATGAATGGAATGGTACAGCGGTAAGCTAATCTTTACCCTGGCGTTTGACACTTGAGATGTATATTTTAGGACCCACCTTATTTCTGTAATTTAAAGTTTGAAACTGTTTTTAATATTGTGTAATATTGTGTTTTGATTGTTGGAACTTGCCCTGGGACCTTAGGGTGAAGGGCGAGTAATAAATCGTAACAACAGCAACAACAATAAGGTAACAGGTTATATAATTATCCACAATCTCATTTCTCCCTAATGAAGCAGCAATCTGAAATCCCAGGCACAGGAATGCCTTTCCCCCGTATTTAGGTTCATGTGTGAACAAAAATACAGGATTTGCAAGCATTTGAACTTTCATCATGATCATTGACTTCACACAATTGTTAGCAATGTCACCTCTCAAAGTGAGTGTAATTTGCAATTCTTTATTACAATCATTTAATGTCTAGACCAGCCTTTCTCAACCTTGGGTCCTGTCAGGGACTGGGCAGAGGAGCGGGAGGAATAGTGGATCCCGCCTCTGCAGTCTGAACCTGCCAGAGAAGAGGGAGACAGTATAGATTTACAAACAGGAGTTTGCGGAAGGTTCAGAGGCTGCAGAAGGGAGAAGCTGGGAAATATTGGGAGGGGAGCAGGAAGAAGAAGAAGCACCAGGGGAAAGACAGCTGACAGACTCAGTGTCTTTAGAAAGCATTCAAGAACCCCCCTCTCCCAGAACCAGGCAGGTATTTGGAGTAGTACAACAGAAAGCTCAGAGGCAGAAAGCTCAGATTAGCCATCACAGGGGTGACATAGAACAGGAGAGACAGAGGGGGTGGAGCTTTACTCGGAGCAACGCCATTACTGAAAGAGAGGCACCTTTTCTAAGCCTCTCACTGTGAATATTGAATAAAAGACTTGGTATGAACTCTTCTTGTTATCTGATTCTTGGCTGTGCACCGTGGGAGGGATTGGATTCCCTGAAGCCTGACAGGTCCCCAGATGCTGTTGGACTATAACTCCCATCATACCTGGTCACAGGTCCTGCCAGCTAGAGATGATGGGAATTCTAGTCCAACAACATCTGGGGACCCAAGGTTGGGAATGGCTGGTCTAGAGTGTGTCAGCCATTCAGTATACATCCCATGCCTGCAGTCATTGCACTAGTCTGCCATCTTGAAAACTGCATCTCTTTTAATGTATCATATCTTCCAATTAAGGCAAATCACATTAATTGGCCCAGAGATAGGCCAATGTTGTTTAGTGCATAGTATGTTGAACTGAGAGTTTGATTGATAAACTCAAAGGATGGCTTTGGACAAGTCTCTCTTGGCCTAATGTCCTTTGAAAGGTTGTTGATAAGGTGCAATGATATTTTACCATCAAACAGGACTGTGTTCCCTGGAGGAAGTATATCATATTGGTGACCCATAAGACCAATATTTAAATCTAAGATAGTGACATTTTAGCACTGCTCTGAGCTCCTTGGAATACAATTGCACTACAGTAATGAATATGAATACAAATTCAACAAATGGATATTTTTGGTGAAGATATTGGGAATTTCTTGTTTCCACAAACTTTTCCCAAATTTTATCCGTCACATGACTAAACACGTATGTTTCCTGGGGAAATCAGGTTCTCTGAGTATTGTATTCCAGCTGATACTTAGAGCAACACACACAGCATAAACTTGTACCTTCTAGAATAGTTCAGCCCTCTCCCAGGCCACAATAGAGGTACTTATGTGAAATAATGAAAGAGGCAAATGATTTTCATATCCAGCAATATAGCTAAAATGGGGCATAACTGGAAATGAATTTGATTCATCTCGTGGCTATTTTTGCGTGTTGTTTAATTTGTGTTTTTTAATGCCTTGTTTGCAACTACTTGAACAGACTTCTATTAAGAGGAGATTATTTCAAGTATGCTCCTAAACTGCTTTTCTATGATACGATGCATTTGATGGCTTCCTTTTATTTATTTATTTTTGCTATTCTTCTTGTTCTCGTTCTGCTGACAAGCACATCTTTTCAAATGCATTTTATGCACAAGGTTTGGCTCTTATATGCAGTTAGATATGGAAATAGCTTAGGATCGCATCAGGTAAAATTGCTTAATAGGGAGAAATGCCACAGTCACAACACACCAAATGTCTAAGTGCTTGTTGTCAGGCGATGGTGTCTTCATTATAAGTGTGCTCACTTTTTGTCAGCATCCACGGCTTGTTCAAATATCTGACATGACGCAGATCCAGAAATCAGATGTTCCAAGTCATGGCTGTCTCAGTTCTTCTCCTGACATATGCTTTCACTTTGCATGATCTTCTCTTCTTAGATGCAGCAGCTGGGGGGGGCGGAAACATTGCGCAGAACATCGTGGTGCATTGCGAGTGCTTCCTACATTCAGAGCCAACCGGTCCATGAGGTGTGGTGAGGCAGTTACCTCAGGTGGCAGATTGGAGGACAGTTGGGAGGGGCACCAGATGCAAACCCTGAGGAGTGTGCTGTACCCTTTGCACTTCCTCCTCTACTGCCTTGTTCTCCACTGGGACCACCTGTTCATTTTGCTCTGCCTGCTCCTCTCTGGACTCCTTTTTTGTCAGCTCCAGCAGATGGTGAGGGAGGCAGCTTGGGTAGGCAGTTTCAGGGAGGTGGTTTCAGTGGGCAGTGAGCAATGTTTTGGGGGGTGGGGGCAGAGGCAGAGCTAGCTGCTCCAGCACCCGGAGCGGCGCACATGCTGTGCACCCGGAGGAGGGGCTAGCCGCATGTGGGGCTGGAGCAAGCATCCCAGGGGGGCAGCGTGGCCATGTCACACACCCCCTCAGGGATTACACCCAGGGTGGGCTGCACCCACCGCACCTCCTTCCTCTGCCAGTGGGTGGGGGGAGCTTCAGCAGGCAGCATAGGAGGTAGCATTTTCTGTTTTGCCTCCAGTGGCAAAACGTTCCAACCCAGTCTTGCCTACATTCATTTTTCAAGTTGTTGACAAAAGATCATATTCCTTTGCCATTTCCCATGCTTCCTCAGCACCTGAATACAGTGGTGTAGCGTGGATTGGCAGCACCCAGGGCCATGCAGAGGGGTGGGGGTGAGGGGAACAGATGGAGTATGCATGCACATTCAACTGCCTGATGGCATCCATGCCACCCAGGAGATTGCAGCCGCAGAGGTAAGAAAAGAAGAGTTGTTTCATTGTCTGGAGAAGTCACTTCCTGCTTTACATGGAAAAGCTGTTTTCAATGGAGCCCAGCAACAGAAGCATGCAGCTGTACTGAGGCAGTACCCAGTGTTGAAATTTTGTGCCTCTAACAATTTTATGCCTGGGGCAACCACCCTGTGCCCCCCCCCACTACACTACTGTCTGGTGTACATAAAGAGAACCTTTCTGGATCAGATCAAAGGCCCATTTAGTCCAGCATCCTGTTCTCAATGTGGCCAAACAGATGCCTGTGGGAAACCTACAAGCAGGATTTGACCTCAAGAGCATTCTCTCCTCCTGTGTTTTCCAGCAACTGGTATTCAGAAGTGTTATGTATTGAAGTTCTCACCCTGGCCACCAGGAGTATTGTGTATGTAGTTTTCACTCAGGTCCACGTCAGTTACTTTAGGCGGGAAACCCTGGGTTGCTGTTGTTACAATGTTGACAGCCAGCTGCCTATAAAAGCAGGCCGGCTGAGCTGTTTGCTGTTCAGTTCTGTTTCAGCTTACAAATGAAGAGCTGCTTTGGAGAAATCACTGCGTCATCTGCTATGTCCACCCACTATTTAACACTGGCGACGAAGGTGGGATTGATGGACATCAGAGCACAGCCAGATTCGGACATTCATTGAGCGGAATCACTGAACAGAACCAATTCAGAGCTGACCGTTCTGGCTAGAGCACTGTGTTCCATCCATCACCCTCTACATCGGCATTGGAACCATGGCTTCACTCGTGCCTCTACCGCCATTTGCCCCAGCCTCTGAATCATGGGACTTTTACCTTGCTCGGTTCGACTGCTACCTCCAAGCAAACGTGATAAGAGAATCGTGTAAGCGAGGCCTCTTCCTCAGCCTTTGTGGACCCAAGGTGTTCGAGATGACCCGAGCATTGGTCGCGCCTTTAGCAGTCCAAGCAGTGCTGTGGGACACGATTCAAGAGAAGCTCTGCAACCACTATGCGCCGAAGCCTTCCAAAATTCTGCTCTGGAGGCAGAACACCAGGGCATAACCATCATGGCTAATAGCTATTGGTAGCCCTCTCCTTCATAGGAGCAGAGGAGCCATGACTGTTTAAAGCGGTATCATAGTGATTTACATGTATGGTGTGCTTTAAATGTATGGTATGGATGAGGACCCAGAATAGCTCCGCTGCTAGAGCATCAAACTCTTAATCTCAGGGTCGTGGGTTTGAGTCCCCCATTGGGCAAAAGAGTCCCGCACTGCAGGGGGCTGGACTAGATGACCCACATGGTCCCTTCCAACTCTACAATTCTGTGATTCTGTGAATGCGGCCTTAGTCAGAAGGGAATCATTCCCACTCCTCTGCCCTCCCCACTTTACCAGTTGGTACTGAAACAACGTCTTGTGTGGCAATTCTTACTGAAGCATCCAGCATATGTGGTGCTGGTTATGTATACAAGAAGCATTTTGATCTGATAACTGAAGTCTCACAAACCCTCCTACAAAGCCTTCAACTGAAACATGAAAAAGAAAACCTTCACAACAGCCAAGTAATCTCTGGTTGCTCCTTTCTGTTTGGTTCCAGTACGGCTGCTTGCTCAAGCCTCCCTTATGCTATTGTTGGAAGGAGCGCCTATACAATCTGCTGATTGTGTTTATGCCCTGGCCTTCACACTGACATCACAAGTGGCTTTTGAAAAAGTCATAAACACTTCAAAAGATGGAAGAACAGAAATCAGTGTTTGTATCTAGATTTAATTCAGGGGAAGTCATTTTTAAGTTAGTTAACCTTTCCAATGGAGTGAGGTGTATTTGCACTGCAAAGGCTCAGAAAAAAATATAATGGATTCTTTCCTTCCTACCTTCCTGCCATGTTTTTCCATCACTGAATCTCAGTTCAGGAGAAAACCCGGACTGTCCTGCTGCCATTAATGGCACAGGGAGCCTCTGCCAGTAGGAAAGAAGACAATATTGGCATTAATAGAATCAGCAGTAGTCATCAGTATCTGTGTTCCACCCTTATCCTAGGCCTAAGGTTGCCAACAGCTGAGATATGCAGGCTTGGAGTCTCCTCGGCATCTAACAGCACATCGATCTCAGAAATCAGCAAATAAGGCTTGTGAGGGCATAGAAATGTGACTTATTTATTTATCTAAGCTATTTGAAGTTACTTGAGAATCTCGGGGTGGCAAGCAACGACTTTAGAAGGACAATGAACAATAAATATCTAAAACAAAATAAAATAATCAGTGTCAAAATTCAGAACTTTCATGAATAGGAAAGGCAGCAGAAGTGAAAATCAAACTATCACCGTCCTCTCTGTCCCTCTTGAGGTACACAGGTGCATCCTTACACGGTATCTGAATCAAAATAATATAGTGGCATGATGCATTTCAGAAAGGGAGGGTTGTCAAAAACACTGGGTCCACCACAAAGAAAGCTATGCTCTGGGTCCCTATGTGATCCTCCCTATGCCAGGGAACCTACATAGAGTCACCCTTGTGAAATTTGCACATCTCCAAATTTCCACTTTACTATAAAGTAAAGTGTTCATGGTAATGCATATACAGTGGTACCTCGGGTTACATACGCTTCAGGTTACATACACTTCAGGTTACAGACTCTGCTAACCCAGAAATATTACCTCGGGTTAAGAACTTTGCTTCAGGATGAGAACAGAAATCGTGCTCTGGCGGCACAGCGGCAGCAGGAGGCCCCATTAGCTAAAGTGGTGCTTCAGGTTAAGAACAGTTTCAGGTTAAGAACGGACCTCCAGAACGAATTAAGTACTTAACCCAAGCTACCACTGTATTATTAAAAGCAGCATACAAAAATATGTTGTATTGCATTTAGTCTTTTTTTTAAAAAAAAGGATTAAGAGTTGCAAAAAAATGCTATCTGCAATGCTAACTTAATAAAAATGAACACCAATATCCTGCAGGATTGCTGGCTAGTAGCTGTACATGGAACTTTAAGTTCCCTTATAAAGCAAGAGAAGAATGGGATATGGCTTGTGGAAATCCAAAACAAAAGGGGCCACCCCTGAAAGAACCTTGGCAACATCCTGGCTTTCAGAGGGTGTGAGTCAAATACTCCCATTTCTTGAACTCAGCTATGGGAGAGGTAGGAAATAAAGGAAAACATGGTCCCTCAAGTATTCCAGACGCAGATACCATATGGTGTTAAAAGTGTTAAGATGGATATTGACAAACTGAGATATGTATAGAGAAGAGAGATAAAGGTGTGGTGTGTGTGGAGGCCAAGTCTTTTGAGAAAAGCTTGATGGGTGTGTTTAACCCACAGAAAAGGGACAATTAAGAGGCAGTATTTTATTTCACTTAATGAATTAATTCATTTAAAATGTTTACAGACTGTTCTTCATTTCCAAGAAGGCATCCCAGAGCAGGCTGAAGTCACAGAGTAGACATCTTCAGATTCAAAGATGTTTCATATAGATGATGGAGCAAATTTTCTTTCTGTGGCTCTACAGGGGAGATAAGATGGAAGGGAGGGGAGAGAAAGGATCTCAGCTTCTTCTTGATGTTAGAGACTGTTCACCAGCGAGACAGACCATATTGGAAGGTGGTGAGTCTTTCCTTTTTTAAGCAGGGGGTGAATGAACACATTTCAGGGGTGGTGTTGTAATGGACGACCTGCATGGGACTGAGCAGGGCTTTTTTTCAGCCAGAACTCATTGGAACTCAGTTCCGGCACCTCTCGGATAGGTGCCATTATAAGAGAAAAGGGTACATTCCAGCATCTCTTTTTGTAGAAAAATAACACTGGGGTGGAGCCTGATTTGTTTAGAAGTTCCTTTCAACTCTATGATTCTGTGGGTGGGACCCAGACTTAGTCAGGCTTAGGGAAGAGTAATCAAAAATCAATGGAATTTGTCATAAATAGCATACGTCCTATTTCAGTGGACCTCCTCTAAGCATGACTGTGCCCGACTACACACCATGCCTTTAAAGCACCTTCTTCCCTGAAAGAATTCTGGTTACTGTAGTTCACCCCTCACAGAGTTACAACTCCCAACGACCTTTCACAAACCAAAAATACCCAGAATTCTTTGAAGGGAAAACATGTTTCAAAGTGTGCTTCATAGCAATAGTGTGTACACAGCCTAAATCTGGATCCAGTCCTATGATTCTCCAGAGATTCTACAGAACAGAGGGAAAGAGTACTTATGCCTGATAACCTCATTTTATTCATTATAAACTAAGTTTGTAGCACTAAAATCACTGACACTAAACATGGCAGATATTAATAGCACTGCTAAAGTAATTATATCACAATAAATTAAGTTTATAGCTGAGCAAATAGTTTTTTATTAAAGCTGAAGAGCATCGGTATCGCTACATGTTTGACGGCATCCCGTAAATCAAGGCGGGGGGGGGGGGCTGTGGAAATGCTTGCGAAGCCTCATGAGGTTTCCAGCCAGTGATTTCTCTCAGCCAAACCCCAGAGCTGTGTAAAGCTGAATCGGACAACCTTCCATAATGAGTAGGTAATAAATAATCACCTGCTCCTGCGATCTACAGTTAAAATGCAGATTACCTATGTTTCTTTGAGCTCAGCTAAATGCACAGGATAGAACCCCCATTTGGAGCAGAAAAGGGGCCATTGACAGTGTCACCTTCTGATTTACCGTGTTGCTTACTTTCTCCAAGGCTCTGCCCAAAAAAACATTTCTGCTTAACTGAGAATGCATTAGGCTGCAAGGCCTGAAATATTCAGAACACGTTTGCTTACAGTGTCTGCTCTTCAGGACAACTTGTGTTTCACTGCTGAGAACCCCAGCAGTGATTTTGTTTATCATTGTCATCGTCATCATCAAAAAGAAGCTGTTTTCTCAAGAGGCGTTGTCCTCCTTGTTGGGGATCCTTGAGTTTCGGATGACTTGTGAGTGGAAAGAGCTTGTGACATTTAGAAAATGAATACCTAAGTGCATTGTGTGTGTTGTGTTTTCCGTGATAAACATGGAAAGCTTGAGCATGTTGGCTTATTAACTGGTCAGTCCAAATACAATGTACAACATTACATCTTTTTATATCCTGGATTGCTTTCTCAATGCTTTGAAGAACTGCCTTATACAGTTTTCCGGGGTTTCAAAGAGGGATATTTCCCGTGCTACCTGGAGGTGCTGATGGTTGAACCTAAGTTCTCATGCATGCAAAACAGATGTTCTACCACTAAGCTAGAATGGCTTATCAAGTAGATCTTCTCTTATCCTATGGGTGGTCCCTCTGCCAGTGCTAGACATTTCTGTTTGTGGAATTGCTCCACAAAATAGAGGAGATAAGAAATTGCAAGATGCTCCATACATTACAGCTGTCATGTGAGCGACGCCTGCCATACCAGACTTGTTCCAATCAAGTAGCTGTAATGCATGGTTTCTTAAATGCACCACTGAGTGTTACCCAGGCCTCAAAATCAAATTCTGTATTTTCAACAAGAAAAAGATATAACAAGGCAATCATGAAAGACATGTTAGAAAATAAAGCACAAACATCTTTATAGAGCCTCTGGATGTTTCAGATAAAGAGCCAGGGCTTGGTGGTAGAACAGAGGGTCCAAAAGTCACATCTCTGGCATCTCCAGGTAGGATGGATAGAGAACCCCGTCTGAAACTTTGGAAAGTCACTGGCAGTCAGCATAGCTGTTACTAGATGGGTCAATGGTCTTACTTGGAATAAAGCAGCTTCTTGTGTTTTTAAAAGTACTGAAAAGGGAATCCAGGATATAAAAATATGTAGACTTGAGTTCAGTGGGCTTGCTTGCATATTATTCTTCCTAATATGTGGCTATCTCTGACTTTCCTGCACAGGTTCCATGGTAATGTGTCATAAATATGGGTATTACTTGATGGTTGGTTCCCCAGGAATTGCCACGCAGTCAGTGAGAACACAAAACAGCATTTTAAGTGTTGAGTGTCTGTTCCATTGCTTTTGCCATTTCTGTTCCTGAACATGCTATGACTAGCAAATTATACTGAATATAGACAAGGAGAAATACTTGTGCAGAACTGGCCTTACGTTAGACCCTGTTAAATATGCAAAGGTACAAATTACCTACTTCTGCTAACGCTAATTCTTTTCTTTTTCAAAAAGTCAGTTTGGTTTTAAGCAGCATTTCATCTATATGCCAGGCTTTTGAGACTTGATGGATATTTGCTTTGAAGTTTAAATGACCTGTAGATCTTCCATGGAAGAAATCCCTTTTCATCTTTGAATCTCTGTACAACTA